CGCAAGGAGGATGTAATCCAGAGAGCTCAATATCAAACCACAGCAATTATTAATTCTATTTATTTAGAAAACTGACAACCTTAAAGGTTCAAGTTTCATTAAAAATGACTGACAATATACTGCAATTAAGTTTTACTTAATTTTCTTTGAGTTCTTATAATTTTCTTCTTTTCTGGAGATAAATTCTGTAGAAATTGTTCAAATGCTTTGTATGTCCAAGTGTTTTCAGCTATACTTTTAGTTATTATCTAGGATGATTTTATTTTTACTTTTATATTTTTAGTTTTTTATTATTACTTTTAACTGTTTTATTTTGTATTTACATACAAGATCAAAAATGTTATTCATTTTTCAAAATTTTTAAATTTAAGATATATATAAACTATGGTGGGTAAATTGTCACCATTTTATCTTTTTAATTTCATGCATGCACATTGGTAGTTTTGATGTTGTTGACTGCACAATATTGTAGGGTCAGTTTGGCAGCATCTGTGAGAAAAAGGCTACCATGATACAATTCACTCTGCTTGAAATTTGGAAACAGCTTGCTGTACATTGACCAAGTTAAACAAGGAGATTGTTGAGAAGAAATGCAGTAGATTCCAAAGCCGTCTTGAGGCCGTGGTTGAAGCCAATGGCAATTTTATTGAATAAATTTACTCTTTAGATATTTTTTGGTAATTTTGCTAAATATATCTGTTAAAATGAGATGTCCGTGTTATTATCATTTTTGTGTAATTTAATTGACATTTTATCAATTGCAACCAATATACAGTGGGGAAAATAAGTAGTTTATCCCCTGCTGATTTTCTGAGTTTGCCACCTTACAAAAATAGGAACAGTCTATAATTTTCAGAGCAGGTCTGTCTTGAAAGATAGAATATAAAAAAATTCTAGAAAATCATATTATATTAATTTTTGAATATTTATTTCTTTTTTATTGAAAAAATAAATATTTCATCCCCTACCAACCAACAATGATTCAGGCCCCACAGAACAGTTATGTGACCAGGAGGCATATAGACTAGTCCTATTACTCAATTATTACTCCTAATCAAGTACTCATTACTTGTATAAAAGACATTAGTTCACAGAATCATTCAATGAATCAGAATCTAATCTCTCTACAATGGGCAAGATGAAAGAATTGTTTATGGACATCTGGGATAAAATTGTATACCTGCCATGACTGGAATGGCCTACAAGACCATTGGTAAGCAGCTAGGTGAGAAGGAGTCAACTTGTCTCCATATTTTTGGTATATCGGGTCTGTACCGATCCTTCAATATTTGTCTATATTTCTGGTATCTCATCATAATACCTCATCTCAGAAATATAGACAGATATTGAAGGATCGTTAAGGAGCCAACTGTTGGTGTGATAATAAGAAAATGGTAGAAATACCAATTGACAATCAATCTCTCTTGGTCTGGAGCCTCACGCAAGATCTCTCAACATGGAGTGAACCTGATGATGAGAAACGGGAGGAAACAACCCAGAACTACACAGCAAGAGCATATTGATGATCTCAAGCTGGAACCACAGTCACCAAGATGACCATTAGTAACAGACTACATCGTAGTGGACTGAAATCATATAGTACCTGCAAGGTCCCCCTACTCAAGACAGCATATGTACAGGCCTGTCAGAAGTTTGTAAATGAGCACCTGGATGATTCAGAGGAAGTTTGGGAGAAAGTTATATTCAGTCCCCCAATTTCAGTGTTTCACAGATAAACCTTTTTGTAATTGTTTGGTATATGTAAATATGTGTGTGTGTGTGTATGTGTGTATGTGTGTAGCTGCATATATATATATATATATTTTCAATTTCTTTGTCCACATATATATATATATATATATACATATAAGGCAAATACTATTTAAAATGATAGACATTTAATGTTAATTCATTTTAATGACCACTCTTTCCAAATTACAAATAACCCTTCTCAAACAAAGAAGAAATTCTTTTGGAAGAAAACTTTGAAGTAATATGGTCCAAGCTTTTGACTTTTTTAAGTCATCATCAGCAGAGGTAGAGTTAAATTTGTGAGTTTAATAAAATTTTTAAAATGGCGCCATGATGCAACATAAGAAAAAAGAAATAAGCTGTTAGGGGTTAAATATTAGAAGTTGTAATAAAAGTGTGTTGAGCGCATTTTTTAATTTATATTCATAGAATGAATGAGTGTGGTAACATAAGAAATATGGATTATATTTGCTTTTATTTTTAGATGGTTGTTTTTGTTGTATGAGTCTTACTTTGGGGGTCATAAGTCTGTTTTTACTATTTGATTTTGCTAGTATTTTGCTATTGTTTGTGACTAGTTGTCTAATGTCACTATGATCCTTATGCTGCTTATTAATGTGTTATGTTATATTATTATTAAAGTAACAACATTAATAATAATATAGCATAATAAATAAAATAAAATATAATTTAATTAATAATACAAATTAACAAATATTGCAATTTAATTAATAATATAACATAACAACTTATATATGTAAACCATAAAAAAAAATTTAATTTAATTTGGAAGAAAAAAATTTACAAATGGAAGAAAAATCTACAGCTGAAAAAATGAAGATGTAAACAAAAGCAAAAATTCATGAACGTGGGCAGGTAAAAGAACATTAAATTCATGAATGTATACATATCCAAAATAGAGTCAAAAAAAGGATTGTAAAAGAAGCAAAAAAATTGGAAATATCATTTAAAACCAGAATCCTTGAAGAACAGACATTTACAAGAAACTTTGAAGTCAGGGAAAACAACAAAAAAAAATGGTATTTAAATTTAAGTAATCTTTATTATTTAATATTAATGCTCTGTTTTTAATATTATTTTAATATTTTTAATATTGAGCACTATATATAAAAATATCTACTGTTTGTTAAATTTAATATATATATATATATATATATATATCAGATAGATGTAGCTCAACAGCCTAGATCATCTAGAAGAAGAAAAATCTTGATTATAAAACCCTGCTGCATTGTCGTCATATTCAAAACACAGAAAAGGCTATGGAAGTAAATCCACTCAGGAAACCTAGAGTGGAGCTCCGAAGGCAGTTAGCTGTCAACACCAATAACAACATCACCTTGTATTCCTTTAGATCTTGCCAAGAGTGTGGGGACATGTAGCAAAGTGGCATGGAGAAGTCATTCCAGTCTCACCCCCAAATGATTGAATTTTAACCAAACTGGGTGCTACCATTATCTCACAAGATAAACTGATATCTACTATATATATATATATATATATATATATAAAAGTGAACATTGAAGTCAACACTTAGAGGTGACAGGCTGTTTCATGCTAGGCACAATCGTCAGGCCACGAGTCTTGGCCTGAGGATTGCATCTAGCATAGAACAGCATGTTGCCTCTAAGTGTTTACCAATGTTCACTATATTGCACATGCCCATCTCTGATATTGAGCACTTTATCCCATATATAGCAAACCTTAATACTATATTTCTTCACATATATATATATATATATATATATATATATATATATATATATATTTGAAAAAAATAGAAAATAAATCAAAATAAAGGTAAAAATGAAAAATCATTTGCAGAGTTACTAGGAAAAAAATGACAGTCAATCACCAAATGAGAAAAAATGTTTTCTGATTCAGAGGATTGTGCATTCTTCTGATTAATAAATTAATCTTTTGAATATATATATTTAACATTTTTCAACCAACAGGTGTTCCTGCCAACGATAAAAGAAATGCTTCACAATCACTTTGAAGGAGATATAAGCAACATTTCTAAACCAGACAAAGTAAAGAGTGACAGACTGCAACAAACAGCAAGCTTCTTGATGCATTGGCTTAAAAGAAACTCTCTTACTCATTCACCCATCATCTTTACCAAGTTATGTGACACTTACACTCTTCCTCATAAAGCTACATGACACTTACACTCTTCCTCGTAAAGCTACATGACACTTACACTCTTCCTCACCAAGCTGTGATACTTATACTTTCCTCCTCACTTTCCTCCTTGCCTCTTCTTTCTCACACAAAGGAATCACATTTATTTTCTTCTTAATAAACAATTCACCCTTGCATGGAGTATTGATGCCATATATGGTCTGGAGCCCCTTCTGTTTGCCTCGGGGGTTCTTGATAGGCTCCAGAGGCAGATAATTAGCCCTGCTCTGGCATCTCATCTACAGTCACTTTCTCACAGACACGCTGTCGCCTCTCTCTGTCTGTTTTACAAATACTTTCATGGCAATTGCTCTGAGGAGCTGCATTCACTTGTTCCCAGACTTCATGAGTACAAGTGCCCTACGAGGCTGGCATCCCGCTCTCACCCTTTCACTGTTGAAACACCTAAATGTAGCCGTCTCTTCTACTCCAATAGCTTCATGTCTCGCACCTCTCGCCTGGGGAACACCCTTCCCTATTCCAGTTTCCCTAAGAGCTATAATCTCCAGCTATTCAAATGTAATGTCAATCGACATCTCTAGTTGCCTTGATCTATCCACTATCCTAGCTCAAATTTTCTGTAACCACCTTGCGTCCAAAGGCCTGTAAGAACTTTAACACTCATATGTGTTAAGAAAAATTAAGTTGCAAAAAAACAAAAATAAAAATATCTTATATTTTTATATTTAGCCATCTTTTTCTTTGTTGTTGGTTGATTCAAATCTTCAGCATGTTGTGCCTCGAACAGATACTATGAAGTGATGATAGCCATTGCAATGTTTCTTCCAAGAAAGCACAAAAATGGCCTTCGAACATGACAATGCAGTTAAAAAATAATTATCTATTGTAAAGCTCTGAGACCTGATCACGTTTAAAGTGGCAGAAACTTTAAGGTGTGCTTTTTGTATCTCAATTTAAATGCTGCAACATTACAACAAATAACTTAATGGATATTTTAAGATATTATCAATGCTACAGTTTCTCAATGATACTGTTTATCAAATTATTCCTTTTAATCAATTGAATCAATATAAGGTTGACAGATGATTTCTTTCTTTCTCTTTAAATTATTCTTTGTTTTTTTTCTTTCAGCCCTGCTCACTGTTCTGTGTTCACATTTCCTTCTTTTCATCTTTTTTATTCTATCAATTTTTAATTTTCTTTCTTTCTTATATTTTCTCCTTCCATACATTCTTTCCTTCTTTCATATTGCATTATTAGTTCTTTTTTTTTTCTCTTCCTCATTTATCCATTGCTTTTATTGCTTTTTACCTCTTTGTTTTAGCTTTCCTTTAAGATTTTTCTTTGTTTTTTTTTTTCTTTTTCTTGGTTAAATTTCTTCTCATTTTTTACTTTTTCATCTTCTTCATTTCATTACTTTTGACACAGTTTCCCATTAAAATAATTTCTGCTGGTCGTTTTTTCATTTTGTTTTTTTTTCTTTGTTTTTTTCTTTCTTTTCCTTTTTTTGTTTTTTGGTTTCTATTAGCCCTCTTCTTTCTTTCTTTCTTTCTTTCTTTCTTTCTTTCTTTCTTTCTTTCTTTCTTCCCACTTGATTGTTTGCTTATTTCTACTGGTCCACTTTATTCCTTTCTTTCTTTTTCTTTTTTACTTACTTTCCCATTTCTTGTTTATTTGCTTCTACTAGCCAGATTCTTTCTTTTTTTTTTCTTTCTTTCCTTTTATTTGTTTGTTTCTATTGGCCCACTTCTTTCTTTCTTTTTTCTTTCTTTCCTTCTTTCTTTCTTTCTTTTTCCATGTTTGTTTGTTTCTTTCTTTCTTTCTCCTTGTTTGTTTGTTTCTACTGGCCCACTTCTTTCTTTCTTTCTTTCTTTCTTTCCCTTCGTTTGTTTGTTTGCTTCAACTGGCCTAATTCTTTCCTTCTCTTCTTCCCTTTCCTTGCTTGTTTGCTAGCTTCTACTAGCCTGATTCTTTCTTTCTTTCTTTCTTTCTTTCTTCCTTTCTTTCTTTCCTTCCATCCTTCCTTCCTTCCTTCCTTCCTTTTGCTTGCTTGTTTGCTTCTACTGGCTTAATTATTTCTTTCTTTCTTTCTTTCTTTCTTTCTTTCTTTCTTTCTTTCTTTCTTTCCCTTTGCTTGCTTGTTTGCTTCTACTGGCTTGATTCTTTCTTTCTTTCTTTCTTTGGAGACTTCATTATTTTTCATAAATCTTCCTTTCAACATTTTCATTTCATATTTATTTTCTTTTAATCTCATTTTTCATTCTTTATCCATTTCTTCTCATTTTTTTCTTTCCATAAAATCCCCCCCCTTATTCCTCTCCCACCCTCCATCTCAGTATATTAATTCCAATCATTCTTAAGAATTAGTGATAATACAATCTTTGCAAAGATTTTATATGGTTTCAGTTTTGAAAATGATAAGAATTTTGTACTCTTAATTCTTCTGCTGTGTCTTATCTTGTATTTTTCTACACTTGGACTTAGTGTGAAAAGCGGTTTTATTATCATCGCAAGTGAACTTCCTCTGCTCTCTTATCTTTCTTGGAAAGTTAATGGCAGAAAAGGAAGAAGAAATTTTCTTCTCATCTTCCTGATTACAAAATCAAATAATTTTGATTATTTTTCATTAATTTTCTGCAAATGTAATTGGAAGAAAAATGAAAAAAAGGAAAAATTTCTCCTTTTTTTTCAAATTTTCAATAAATAAGAACCAATGATGTAAAAACATTGATTACAAAACATGACAGAAATATTTTGGGAATTTTTCAGACTGAAGCACACAGGTGATTTCATTGATCTTACCTTTAATGCAATCGAATAATGCAAATGAAAAAAACACAAACATATATATATATATATATATATATATATATATATATATATATATATATATATATATATTACTTGCATTATTTACATTATTCAGGCTGAGCCATATTGCACACCCTGGCCATCTTCAGACGACTGGATTTTTGAAGCAAAGGTTTGGCCCAGTGGATAAAGACATTGGTTAGATCCAGTGACTTGACCCAAAGAGTTGAGAATTCAATACCAAAATTTGGAGAGTTGAGGTAAAGGAAAATAACTGAGACAAAAATGTGTATTGTTTGCAACTGCTGCATGTGTTCATCCTTCTTTCCTTGCCATTTAATACTGATATATTTTGTTCTTTTTATTCTGATACTCATAATTCTTGTGTTTGACATTCTAGTCTCATCTCCCATCCAGCTTTTGCATGTTTGTTTCTATTTTCTTATACTCTTTTTGAATGCCAACATTGACACTAACCAATATGGCTTTTGTATATGTTTTATAGATTATGCAAAAGCAATTGAGAAATTATATCCTTTCTTGCATCCTATTTGCTCTCCTGTCACTGAATTAAGAATTTTTTTCACTTAACATTGATGTTGATACTTTGTAGATCATAGACAAGCAAGCTAAAGGTGAGTAACTATTATTATTGTTATTCAGCTATCCTTTTTGTCATAATCTCAAATATGTATACTGAGATTTTGGTAAATTTGAAGTGCTATTTTGAAGTGGATTTCAAATTCATTGAAGTCCCTCGTAAAATTTGGCAAGTTGAAAGAAATAAAATAATATCTGAACGTCCTGTCCCCTGAATGGTTTAAACAATTTAAGAGTGCTGGCTTCTCTCTTGAAATAAAGTTCTGAAGTAAATATTCTTCAATTCATGACAATCCTGATCAGGAGTCCCATAACCTGTTAGGGTTGTAGGGCCATCACATGTACTGCAGTAGTGGTGTGTCTTTGGAAAGATTGCCTGATGGAGTTTTCTTTCTACTAGATTGGTTACCAACCAAGGCTATCTAGCACAGTCTGTCCTGCTGTTTAATCATAATTGACAGGAAAAGAAATGGGCCCGTACTTTTCACAAGGCTATTTGTGCATAAGTGAATGCAACAAACTAGACTGTTGTTTGAACTCTGCTCTTTGTGGTGGACTTAACCGATTGTTGAAAGGATGTATTTACTGATAGAGATGAAGAAAATTATTAATTAATATTTGTTATACTGAGGAATCTACAAACAAAAATCTATAATAACTGATTATATATTTAACAACAACACATTTTATTGCCTTAGCAAACTAGACAGAAACACTACAAAATTCATGATTGAAGGTGCATGTAAAGAGCAGTGATTCTCAAACTTTTTGAAGTCAGGGTGCATTTGAAATCCTGTCAATAATTATCGGCAAACTATATACAAATTTTGGAAAAATATGTTATAACAAAGTCAAATATTTCAGAAAAGAAGCAATGCAATAAAAATAAATAAATAAAATGAAACATACCTTAAATTTATTCATTCTTGTGTTTATGAGAAACATGAGCCTGGTGAGTCTCAGGGATTTCTTCAATGTTTGGGTGTATATTTGATAGGCAAACTCTCATTTCCTCCTCAATACATTGAAGAATTCCTCTCTTTTTGCACTTAATGTGGTAAGAGCAGAACAGCCTAATTCACATAAATAGGATTGAGATGGGTACTGAAATATAATAAAGTATATTTATTTCTTATATCTGGATACATATTTCTCTGTAATTGCAGGGCACACCTAAACATCTTCCAGTGCACACCAGTGTACCCAGGTGCACCATTTGAGAACCACTGAGATAGAGATGGTGTTTTTTGAAGTTCATATTAAAGATTGTGAGGCAGGATTTAAGGTAAATCATTAGCAAATGTTGGAATCTATTTACATTAAGTCCTACCAGCCATCTTTCTGTAAACAGAAGGAATGGTAGTTAGGCTTACATATAATTAGCCTGTAATTGCTATATGTTTAGTATATAACATTTGGTCTTTGATGTTCATTTTAGTCACTTAATTTGAACTAAATCTTACCAATCATATCTCTAAGCCTAAACATTTGGTCTTTAGTGTTCATTTTCAGTGGCTGTACACATTTCTTGTCCTTGATAGAGCTCTGATGAGAGAGAACCAATGAACTTATTTAGCTGTTTTTTGTTGTTTTCTATTTCAATATTACCAATTTAATATAGATTTTTTTGTCTCCTTTTTTGTTATTTTTTTCTTCTTGTTTCTCTTACATCTCTCTCTGTCTATCTCTCTTTATATATATATATATATATATATATATATATATATATATATATATATATATATATATATATATAATGATTACTTTTCAGAATGTTAGAATACAATGTAACCTCTTGCTTTACTGCCTTGTTTGAGGTGAACTTGATTAAAATAACATACACACACACACACACATATATATATATATATATATAGATAGATAGATAGATAGATAAGAAATATATAGAAAGTGTGGGCAGTGGAATCAACACTGCATGGTGACTGTCAGTTTCATCGTTCAATGCTTCAGAAGATCCAATTAAGGAAAGTATTTCACAATCACAATACAGTTTTGATCCTTTATCAATAGTCTATAAATACACTTTCTCTGAATTTGAACCCTCTTCTCCTAAATTCTGAACAATATATATATATATATACACACACACACACACATATATATATATATATATATGTATATATATACAAAATTCTAAAAAGATTTACGAATTTCGTGTTGTCATTATTTGTGCATTTTATAATAGATAAGTAGATTTATATATAACATATATAATTTTTGCAGTAAATAAATTTATGGTAAATAAATAATCGTATTCTTCACTTGACTTTAAACTTCCTGACGGCTTCATTTAATAAGACGATCGTTTCATTTTTCATCAGATTTCATTATTGATCAACAAGTTCAATAAACAAGCAAATATTTGAACAAATCACAACAAATACAAGTGAAAAATGGAGAAAAGAGATCTCGTTTCCTGTAGCATTTGTAAAAGAAAAAAAGAAAGCAAGAGAAGGGGAGGAAAGAAGATGGTCTTTGTCACTGACTGATGACATTTCTTTGCTTTTTACTTACATTTCCATGTTACCCAAATTTTATTATTTTCAAATATATCTTGTAAATAAATGCAATATTTTGTTGAAACCTGCGCCATCTTTTACATAATGTCTCCAATTCTTTTGTTGCAACATTAAAAGAGATACTTTATACTTTTTACCTTTCTTTCTCACTTACACATTTAATTCTAACGATAAAGATTTTCAAACGCCAAAGATTTTCTCCAGGCTATCGAGATGTGGAATTGTTTTCTGTGCTTTTTTTTTTTTGCTATTGTAATATGATTTTATATTTTACAACAATTTTTATTTCTTTCTTTGTGCTGAAAATACGGCGTGTACGAAATATGAAAAAAAAGAAAAATATTCCATGATAATTCCATAATTCGACCAAATCGAATCAGATTTAGAACTTAGAAAAGTCTCCTGGCATTTTTCTTTGCCTGCCTTACATACATAATAAATAAACATGAAAGATTTTTCAAAGATGTACTTCACCTTTTAAAACTGAGAAATTTACCGATAAAAGAGTTTTGTTTTATTCCTCTCTGCACTCTTAAATTAATAAGCACTGCATTATATTTGCAAGTGCAGTGCTAGACTGGCATCGAGATCTCATCAATTTGCAGTTGAGCTGGCTAGATGTAGCCGTAAGTTCTATGCTAACAGTTTCTTTTCTTACACTTCTCCCTTCTGGCTTGATGCTTTCCTGTAAAATGTCCAAAAATTTAAATGCAATATCAATCGCTATCTACTGTCTTCCTGTTTATTCTTCCTCTTTTCTCACTCCTTAGCAATGTTCATGTTTCTAACTTTTGCCTACCAAGTAACCACTTGTGTCTCAGTGGTTTTACTGCATTGCATGGGGTGAAATTGATTAAAAAAATATTGATAAGAAATATATAGAAAGTGTGGACAAAGGAATCAACACTGCATGGTGATGGTCAGTTTCATCCTTCAATGCTTCAGAAGATCCAATTAAAGAATGTAACTCACAATTACTATGCAGTTTTGATCCTTTATCAATAGTCTATATTTATAAATGCATTATCTCTGGTATGGAACCCTCTTCTCCTAAATTCTAAACAATGTATATATATATATATATATATATATATATATAAATGAGTTTGTGAGGTAGGTTGCTAGATGCTTCCATTTGCTCCTCAGGCTTATGGTGACATCACATTGAAACACTGGTTCCTGTACAATTACCAAAGTTAAGCAATGTTGATTCTGGTCAGTATCTTGATGGGAGACCACTTGGGAATACCCGTTTCTGTATATTTTTGGATGTGCTGGTGATGGAAAGGATAATTGG